CTCTCTCTCTCTCTCTCTCTCTGTGTCTTCCACAGTGGTGATGCCTGTGAGGACTGGGTTGGAAGTCTTGTCCCAAGTGAACTTCCTGGCCAATTCACGCTGAACTACACACGTGAGTCCTGCCTGAGTGAAGTTTGCCCTGGGGTTGAGATTCAGGGGCAGCATCATCTAGAAGGGCACAGCCCTCCCTTCCTCTCCACACAGTTGTTATGCTGTGGGGGGGAAGCCCCCACTGGGTGACCACAGGAGTAGCAGACAGTCTTTTCACCCTTGCCAGGGCAGGGATGACCCTCACTGTCCACATTTCAGTTTATGATACAACGGGGAGCTACACCGTGAGAGTAGTGATCACAGACTACAATCAGTATGCCATTGTGTTCTTCAAGGAGACTGTTGGAGGCGCAGTGTACTTCAAAGCCATCCTTTATGGTGAGTCCTCTTTCCCTACCCTCAGGGGCCTGGCTCTCAGTCATCCTATCAGGAGGGAACCCTTTCTCTGAAGACACCAAAGGCTTCTTCAGTTTAAGGACCCTCGAGGAGGAGGTCATGCCAAAGACAGTCCATGGGAAAATGTCTGAGGCCCCTCTCACTCATTCGAAAGAATTTATGGAGTTGGGGCTCAGGATTTATCTCAGTGGCACTGTGCCTGCCTCCCAAGCACAAGGTCCTGAGTTCGAAACTGGTACAAAAAAAGAATTCATGGAGTAAACTAAGTGCACTAGTGCACCCCTGCGATCCCAGCCCTTAGGAGCTGAGGCAGAAGGATTGAAAGGTTCTGGCCAGTCTGAACTACATAGCGAGATTCTGTCTCCAAACATTTTTTTTTTAAACTATAAAGTATCTTTCTGTTCGTCATTCACTGGAAATCTTGGCCACAGGGAGAACCAAGGAGCTGAGCCCTGAATTCAAGCAGTTCTTCAATGACATAGCCAAGTTTCTGAGTTTCCCTGAAGAGAGAATCCGCTTTTCTGGACACACTGGTAATGCCAAGCTGGGGAGAGAGGAAGCGGGTGTGGGCTGTGCTCAGGCTTGATGCTGCCTGACCAGGGAAAGAATACAGGAGAAAGTCAATCTCCTCCCCAACTCACCATAAATATAGCGGTGAGAATTTGGGGTCTGTGGGTCCTTAGTGACCACTGCCCCAAATGGGTCCCATGACCGTTTGATGCATGGACACCCAGATAACAATTTTAGGGCTATATCTGCATTTCCCTGAGTAATCTCCTCTGCACATCTTCATTCTTAGTATACTGGGCCAACTCCTCTCTGTACCTTGTATCTTCCTGTACTGCCTAGCTACTGCTTCCCCTGAAACTTGCTCATGCCTGATGTAGGAGATATCGTGACTTTCAAGTGGCCTGGACTGGGCAGGGGATTCCAGTCAGGCTGTGGGACTGACAGGACGCTTCATGTAAACAGGCCAGAGTCCTTGGTTCCAAGTCACCAAGAGTCCTGGGCCCTCAGGATCCATTCACAGGTCCTGAATGCAGGGAAGCTCCAGATCTTCCACTGGACCAGACAAAGCCTAAGGCAGACAGGGGAATGCAGGGGTCCTGCTAGCCAGAGGTCACAAATACGTGTGCACACATGGACACACACACACACACACACACACACTTGCCTGATATAATATTCTTTCTTTTCCATCCTCAGAAGAATGCATCCGTGATTGAATGGACAGTGAGTATGACTGGGCAGGGGGCTGATGGGAACTTATGGTGGCATCAGCTGAGAATCTCAGGACTTCCTTTATTCCTGTCCTCTAACCCCAAAGCCCAGTCATCTTTACTCTGCTGTCCCCTCTCAGGTGCCTCCTGCCTCTCCACCCCCTGTTCTTCCTGTCACTGCTGCTCAAGGTGCCAGCTGCCTGCCCACCAGCCACAATTCCTGTGAAAGAGCTGGAAGACCCCTCTTGTAGTGCACCACCGTACACTGATCGTCCCAATTCAGCCCCCTCACGGAGCCCACTTCCCTGCTAAATAAAAACATGCAGCAGGGTCTCCAACTCTGGGATTCTTTCCCCTAGTTCTTGAGAAATGTAACGGCAAAAGGTGAGCTCAAACCACCATCACTCCCAAAGCCTGCTGGCCCCAGAACCCAGCCTGCTGTTAGCTTGGCAGGAGGTAGGAAGGAGAAATATCTGGAAGGAGAAAGTCTGAAGGCCAGGGAGGAAATAGGAGTCTGGTCTCCACAATCAGAGAGAATGCCCAGCTCATATCTAAAGAATTTGTCTGGGAAAGACAACTGAGTGTGTTTGCCAGGCTTGTAGGGACCGAAAATAAGATCCTCTTCAGATCTTTCAGAGATTCACTTGATTAGCTTTCTTCCCTTTTGGTATTTTTTATCCTTAGACACTTGAGATGGAGCTGGCCTTATCCTAGAAAGGTGAATCCAGAATGACAGAAATCTGTCTGGATAGACAGACTGCCTCTAAGAGTTGTAGACTTTCCTGCTTGTGCTTTATAGATAACTGTTGATGAGTTAGCAGGCACCTTTCTCTCCACAGTGTAATGTGGTCATGTAACACCAGGAAGATGTATTTGGAACCTGCATAAACATTTAGGTCCTTTTAGAAATGAGAAGAAAGGAGCTAAAGGTGTAGGGAAGGTGGGATGGGTAGGGGAAGGGTAATAAGGGAAAAGAAAAAAATGTGAGATAATAAAAAGATGAAAATAAAGTGTTTGTAGATGGGGAGGGGAGGAGGGGGTGAAGGGAGGGCAGGGGTAAGGGGAAAAAAATGAGAATCAAGACTTGTCATGTAGAGGTGCAAGATCCCAACAATGAATGTAACTGTACTGTATCCCTAAAATGTACCAATAAACTCATTAAAGCTGAAAAAAAAAGAAACATTTAGGTCTTTGTTTTTTCCTAGTATCAATGCCTAAGTAAGGACTATTAGCTCAGTTTTTTGAGCAGAGGTCCCTGGGGGAGAGGGTTTGCTTCAATGACCTGTGGTGAACTGACAAAAGTATAATCTGCCTTTTGATGTTCTCCTTGGACAAAGCTATGTAATTGAATTACACCTCCTCCAGGTCTTGTAGGGCAGGACACTGATGTACTTGCTTGCACAGGTGTGGGAAATCACCTGTTTGCAAGAGTGGCTAACCTCTGAGCCTGTGCACATTGATATAAGCTAGGATTAAAACTGTTGCAAATCTTTATGGCAGCTTCAGGAATGTCAGGAAGCATGACCTGGCATCTCAAAACAGTTAAAATCTGCTTTGGCCTTCATCAGAATTGGAGAATTGTCCCCAGGCTTGCTAGCAAATCACTTCTTAGTACAATGTGGGACAATTAAAAACATGGGTAAACATTTGACCTTTGAATCCACATGGCATAGCAATTTAAAGAAGCTCCAAATATGGGTCCCCTCTACCACAATTATGGCTGTGGATCTGGAGGAGAGTTTTCCAGAGAAGGAAGTCAAAACAGAATAAGTCACTTCTGGATCTATGGGGAACTGAAATTCCTTACCAATGAAGTCCAGGGTCACCTGGAGTTTCTCACAAGATATGGAGATGTCTGTGAACAAGGGCATTGCAGATGGCCCTGGGTGCTTTAGTCCCCTTCATTAGAGCAGGAGGTAGGTTTGTGACTCAATTACCCCCCTCTCTGGGAAAGGGCATCATCAATCCTCCAGTGCCATGAGTCAGGCCCACTGGCCACCTGACACGTAGAGCAGGTACAGTCACGTGCCCATCGTCCGGTTTCCTTGCATTTAAAGAAAGGACTCTTTCCCCGGATGGCCTTGAGTTTTCCCTTGAACGACTCAGATCTGCATAAAACATTGTCAGATTTGACACCCATCATTTTACACCTTCTCAGCCCTTTTCCCTTTGGGGGGGAGGTGAGAGAGGGTCCCCCTCTGTGGCCCAGGGTGGACTTGAACTCACGGTGATCCTCCTGTCTCAGTCTCCGAAGTGCGGCGATGAGAGGTGTGCACCAGCCCACCCAGCTTGCAGCCCTTCTCCACTCATCCTCCTCAGGAGGCACATTGCTTAACTCAGAAAAGGCCATATCCAGAACCAAGGTCTGAGGTACAGCAAGCAACCAAGACAATTTGGACATTTTGGTGTAAGAGCTCAAAAGCAAGGGTCAAAGTCTGAAGCCCATCTGCAAAACTACCAGAATCTTCTGAGAGTTGGCCTAACTGTTCTTTGCGCTGTTGAGTATCTGAAAAAAGAACATGCACTCAAGTTGCCCCTCAGTTCTTCTCGCAGGACCAGAAGAAGTCCTGTAGGGTGCTGTCCAAGGAGTACATGAAGGTGAACGGTTCCTTGATAAGAGGACTGTCGAAAGGACATAGAAAAAAAACCTATGAGTGTGCTTATTTTTACTGAACAGGTAGGTGGTGGAGACATGAGCCCCTCAGAAACAGATGGGCACACTGTGGGAAACTTAGCTATTAATGGAAGAAAAGGGCCCCAGTTTGGACATCACACTTTGTAGAACAATGCCTTTCCAAGTTTGTTTTCTAAAACATTTCAGTCCCATCTATAAACTCTGGCACAATTATTAAGCTTTTCCAATTGACATGCAGCTGTTTTTTCCCCTTCATTTTTTTGCTCAAACCCAAGCGTGTTTAGAGGGCAGAGATTCAGAGCCATGGTCCTTGGTATTACACCAAGGCCTGTTAGCTGGGTACTGGTGCTGGCCCAATTCAGCATGATGCTGAGTAAACTTCCTACAGTTCTCACTCTCCACTGAATTGTTTTCCTCTATTTCTTCAGTGTGTGAAAGAACAAATATATAATTTTGTATTTACAAAAGAATGGGGAAAACAAAAAGAATGGGAAATTTTGAAAATTAGAATTGAATCGAATGAATGGTTCTTCACCATCTATGCATAAGAGTCATTTGGAAGATCATCAAAAAGTAGATTCCTAAGTCCCAACCCCAGGTTGGGTTCTTCAGGTAAATCCTGAGCACCCAGTCTTAGAACAAGCACTGTATGTGACTTTCGTGTAAATGTGGTCCAGGTCTCACTTGGAAAGCACTTGGCTCCTATACTGAAGAGAGAATACCAGACTGTGAGCAGCACCTTCTAACTCTAAACATTTTTTTCCGAAGTGGAATAAGAATCTCCTTGAGTGTCACAGTTTTTTTGTGAGGGCCCGTTGAGATGAAGTGAGGCAGGGGTGTTGGCCTCTGAAGGTAGGTGTCATCTCAGATGAGCTGTCCCACGTCTCCCAACCTGTCCTCCAGCATGGAGTTAGGGCACAACACGCATCCCAAGCCGCAGACACTCACCCGTCAAGAGGGGTGACAGTTCTTGTCCACATCTCCCCACAACAGCACGGTCACGACAATGTCCACACCTCTTCCCTTCCCTACACTGCTTTTCTCACTGACAGAGCCGCAGAGAAGATCCCCTGAAGAATAATTCTTTCCACGCAGGAGCTTGCACTCCCTCTAGTGGTCCATTTAATCCTAAAATGGTTTCAACACGCTATAAATGTTAGTCCTTGATACAGAGTAGGCAACTTGGGTCTGAGGGATGAATTAAAACAAAAAACTAAAAGAAACAATATAAAGACCAATATGAATGAATCCATTTTTCAAGTCTGTTTTTATTACTTTCTATTCAAGCTTGTGACAGTTATAATTTTGTTTCCAGTAGTCCCATTGAACTATATGACCTTGATTTTTAAACAGATTTATAAAAATTATATAAAAGGAGTTGGTTGACCTCTTTTTGCACACCCTCAAGGAAACGGCTTGGGGAGGCTTGAAACTGTTGCCCAAAATTTAGTCCAGCAGCACAACACTTTAGCAAACTTTATTCCCTAAAGGAAGGAGGGGCTGTCCTGTGGCTGTCACACCTCCTCATCAGACTCTGGCCCAAGGGCTTCATATGAAGTGTCCACCACGGCCAGCTGCTTTTCTGTGGCGGCTAAGTAAAGGCTGAGATACCTCTGCATCTAAATGCTCAATGAGTCTTTCTGGTTGTCACCTTTCTTTGTGGTTAATGCAGCCACAAAATCTTCATAGCATGGAGCTGCCCCCTTGGCCATGGAAAAGTACCATGAGAAGTACCTACAAGCATATGGCCATGATATTTTTAAAACTGCATTATCCAGGGATACCTGGGTATTCTTTTCCCTATTTTTCACTCTGTCAAAAATCCCTTTAAAACATTGAGAGTTCTCTTAAGCAATAAGAGGGCTTCAATAGCTGAGTTCCTAACCTAAGCTATAACTTTTCTTTCACTGAATTTATTGGTACTTTTCAAGTATACAGCACAGCTACATTTATCATTGGGATCTTGTACCTTTACATGACTGCTCTTGGTTCTCATTTTGTCCCCAACCCCTGCTCTCCCTTCACCCCCTCCCCCTTCCCCTATGTACAAAGACTTTTTTTCCATTTTTTTTCTTTTCTCATATTTTTCTTTTCCCTTATTTCCTTTCTTTCCCCTTCCTTCCCCACTTCCCCTACACCTTTAGCCCTTTCCTTCCTATTTCACATTATCAGTTATACAATTTGGATCTTATTTACACTATTAGTTTTTCACACCAGAGAAACTATTTGGTATTTACACGTGTGTGTCTTAATTATTTCACTTAAGAGTATGGCCTCAATACACATCCATTTTCCTATGAATGATTCTAGTTTCTCATGCTTTATGGCTGAGTAATATTCCGTTTTATAGAAAAACCACATCTTCTTTATCCAGTCTCCAAGTGATGGGCAATCGGGCTGTTTCCAAGTTTTAGCTATTACAAACTGTGCTGCTATAAACATAGGTGCGCATATATCACTGTGGTATGATTTTTTTAATTCTTTTGGAAAGATACCCAGAAGAGATAGCTGGGTCAAATGGGACCTCTAGTCCTAGTTCTCTGAGGTATCTCCATATTGATTTCCACAGTGGTTGCACCAGTCTGCACTCCCACCAACAAATAGAGAAGCTTTCCTTTCTTCCCACAGACTGGCCAGCATTTGT